TCTAAATTACTAAGGGTGGGTATTTTTGAGCTATGGGGAGATGAATGACTTTCTGGGGTACTTTTCTGAGTTTCAGAAATTTATATAACATTTACGTTAGGTCTAATTAAAAATATATAGAATTTTCATTGCAGTAAATTACATAGAGCATAAAATTTACCATTTTAACAATTTTCAAGTGTACAATTCAGTGGCATCAAGTACATTCACATTGTTGTGCAACCATCACCACCATCCATCTCCAGAACTTTTACATCTTCCCCAACTGAAACTTTGTACCCCTTAAATAATAACTCCCCATTATCTCCTCCCGTCAGCCTCTGGTAACCACTATTCTACTTTCTGTCTTTATGAATTTGATTGTTCTAGGTATCTATTGTAAATGAAATCATGCAATATTTGTCCTTTTGTTTCTGACTTATTTCACTTAGCATAACACCTCCAAGGTTCATCCATGTTGTAGCATGTATCAGAATTTCATTGCTTTTTAAGGCTGCATAATAGTCCATTGTATGTATATACCACATTTTGTTTACCCCTTCATCCATTGATGGACATTTGGGTTGCTTCCACCTTTTGGCTATTGTGAATAATGCTGCTGTAAACATTGGTGTTCAAATACTTGTTACGTACCTGCCTTCAATTTTGGGGCGTATATACGTAGAAATGGAATTGCTGGATCATATGGCAATTCTGTTTAATTTTTTGAGGAACTGCCATACTGTTCCACAGAGGCTGAACCATTCTACATTCCCAGCAGCAATTCACAAGGGTTCTAATTTCTCCACATTCTTACCGTATTTTACATAACGAGGTCAATTACTTCACATGGAAATCTTTCTAAAATGTATCACTGAGTTTCCAGCCTTCTTAAAAGGAAAACGTTGAACCAAATTTAACCTTTTTTTCTTTTAATGACATACATATTCATGCCTCCTCAGGAGCTATTGCAATAAATTTTTATTTGAGATGTTGCTATGTGCTAGATACTATTCTCAGTCATTTCCATAGATTAGACCAATCCTTTCAAAATCCTGTGAAATATCATGCCCATTTCACAGATAAGTAAATGAGGTATACAGAGGTAAAGGAACTTTTCCAAGATCACACAGCTAGTAAGTGAAGACCGCGGGATTCAAAGTCCATTCCTTTACACATTTTGCTAGACTCCTAACCATTTGAGAATGTTTGTCTCTATATTAAATGTCTCCAAACTAATACTGTACATTCTTAGAAAATTCATGTATGTTGTTTAACGTTTTATTTTATTTTTCCTTCTGGTGTTACTCCTTGTAGTTGTAAAAGAACCTACCTCTAGCCATTTTCTCCTCTCCAATCGACATATTGATATCGATATCCTGTCATCAAGTAAAACAGATAAAGAAGAGAATTAAAACTATATGAAAAGTAAAAGTGCATAGGTTTGAGAGAGAATTCGAGGGGGCCAATCTAAGGGTAAAAATATATGAATTTAGGTATTTGGCTTTCATGATATCTATTTTGGTGGTTCAATGACATTTTGCTTATTTCTCGTTATCTTCTTGTGTTCCAGATGCTGAGTCTGCTTTTATGAATGAATGTGAGTGCTAACTCTTACTCCTACCTACATTGTGTAATATAATGTAATTTATTAAAAAAAAAAAACCTTGCCCCAAAGTAATAAATATCTTTTCTATGTCTGACATTCTCTTTTTTAAAACGTCTACTTAATATTTTCATAATACACACAAAGAGAGAACCAAGGGAAAGTCTTTTGATATTGAAAGTGTCTGGTCCTGTATCATCACTATTCAAACTATAGATCCAATGACTGCTGATTATAGATACCCATCAATATCCTCCTACAATTTATTATATTCCATAGATATATTTTCTGGAAAGAATAGACAAGTGTTTCTTTCCCTGTGTAGTATGTATAATGTGAAATGCTGAGCATTTAACTTTATGAAAATCAAACTTTCTTTCCAATGAAGTAGTAGAGGTCACTAGTTAAATACATATAACAGTGAGTCTTTCTATGTATTAAAACCTTATATTAAAAGTGAATTATCAGTATGTTACCCCATTCCACATCACCACGTATTTTTCTAGAAATTAAGTTTTTCTTTTTTTTTTTTGTGAGGAAGATCAGCCCTGAGCTAACATCCATGCTAATCCTCCTCTTTTTGCTGAGGAAAACTGGCTCCGAGCCAACATCTATTGCCAATCTTCCTCCGTTTTTTTTTTCCCCAAAGACCCAGTAGATAGTTGTATGTCATAGTTGCACATCCTTCTAGTTGCTGTATGTGGGACGCGGCCTCAGCATGGCCGGAGAAGCGGTGCGTCTGTGCGCGCCCGGGATCCGAACCTGGGCCGCCAGTAGCGGAGCGTGCGCACCCAACCACTAAGCCATGGGGCCGGACCTAGAAATTAAGTTTTTCTATATGAACATTTCTTAAAGGATTCTTTTCCACAGAATCTTACAGAAAATATGTAGGATTTTCCTAGGAAACAGGTGAATAAGTGGAGTAAAGCTGAGAGAAAAATGTTTACTCAAAACACAAAATGGAAAGATAAATAAAAGGTTTCTGTAGAAAAGCTCTAGCAGCCCAGATCCCCTTAAATCCAGTAATGAGTGAGTGATAAATGTAATTTTTGAACTGCTAGGTTTATAGTTAATTTCCATCCAAATACTCTGAGTAATTTTATTCAACAAAATCAGAGTGGGGAGGGGGGTGGGAGATAAAGGAAACACAACCACACTCCCAGAGATCAGAACTAGCTGATGGGAACAGCCATTATTTTCTTATTCACAGTTTTGTGGCTGGTTAGTAGTTAATGCTGAAAGAAGATGAACAAGTCAGAGCGTTACCTTATTTCTTTTAAGCATGTGCTTCCCAAATCTAAAGGGTTCATGATATAAAACCTCCACTGGATTCCAAGTTTTGATCATTTTAACACTGACTTCTGACTAAAACAATAATACTGTCAATATCAATAAATATGCTCAAATTCTGACAATGATTCAATTAACATTTTTACGAAATTTTTATAACTCAAGTCCTACCCTGCTGGACCTTACAAATGTACTATAATGTTTATAGTTTATATAAATGTTTACATATATATACATAATGTTTATGTTTCTGTCACATAAAGAAGGGACTATTCTCTCTCTATTCATCCACACTCATCTTCTACTAAACACACAATCCTGTGCAAGTTAATATCCCTGGAAGCCGACCTCTATTCTCCACTTTCTGCTTTTCCAAATTCCTACTACTTGCCTCTACCATTCATTCTAGTATTGCTTTATATTGTCTTCAATTCCTCTGTAATGTTTTCACATATACATTGTGTTTTATTGTTAACTATCACCCACATTAATTTCAGATAGACTGTATAGTAAGATTAAAATATTAAAAGTAAAATTGGAAAAAAATATTTTTCCAATCAGTTAATAATAATATGTCCAAAGAAGAAATTGTTGGGATTGGAGCATTCTTCAAGGCTAATATAATCGTGGGAAACTAGAGCAATAAACCAGGTGAGTTGTGGATGAGGCCCAGAAACCTGGGTCTTCAGCTATTAAACATCCCCCTAAAACAAAAATAGCTTTTTAGAAGGATCTAAACTTATTGAAGCTGATATGCAATCAACATCCAAAAGTTGAAAACTCTTAACTAAAGGATACTTTATTGTATTTTATGGTGGTCATGAAGTACTACAAAAACATTTAAGGAAACCTCTGAACATGTAATAAATGATATTTGGGGAGACAAAAATAAGAGGCTTTAACAAGTAAATAGAATGGAATTGAGAATAGAGTTGAAAATGGCAAGACAGCTACTAGGTTTTAATAGAAATGTAGTAAATATATTCTATCAAAAGTCTGGACTAGGCGTCAAGTTACTGGTTTCCAGCTGTTACAGTTGATAGGAAAAAGAAAGGGAAGGAAAGAAAGTAGAAAATAGAAAAGAAAATTAAAGTATTCTTCTAGAGCTTAAGAAACAATCTAACAGGTTTATAACATTTCACTGAAACCAACGGCAAAATCATAATGGGCTGAAGCCTCTATCAGTCCCCTAAAACATCTGTAGTTTTGTTTAAAATGACTAAGGCGAAATACATCAGCTTATGGGAAATGGGGGGAGGGGGCATCCAGCAGTTGGCCAGTGCTCTAGGTGATGGATGTTGACGTGCAATTCCCTTAAACAACTGATTTACTGCCAACAGAGAAAAACACTGGAAGCACATCCAAAAACTCATCTGCAATTAAGATGACAAGAGTGGCCACTCTGTCCACCTTCCCCTCCCTTACCAGAGAGGTGACCCCGCTCCTGGCAACCACCTCCACACAAAGGCCACAAAAGAACACCTCCTTCCCCTAACCCCCTGTCCTTTGCCTCAAAAATCACTATAAAACCTGCCTTACACAGTCTTCCAATCGCTTCCTTCCTCCCTCTCTTTCTTCTTTCCCTCCTTCTCTTTCCCACCTTCACTTCCTCCTTCCCTTCCTAAAATCATTGCTTTTTAAAAAATACTCCCAGATCACCCCTACCCCACTAGAAATCCGTCGCAGGAGAGACGGAGTTAGGTATAGGCGGCGGGCCCGTGCATTCGTAAGCACCATCTGGCACCTGCGCTTCATCGCCACTTGCCATCCGCCTGGAGGTGAGAGGGGCGGGAGGCGAAGGGCAGGCAGAGCTGGTGTGACCCAGTTCTTCGGAAACTTTCAGCTGATCGCAGCCCTTCCCCCACCCAAAACTCTTTAATCATCCGTCAAGCCAGAAAAGGACAGTGACCTCTGCCTAGCGTTTGGAGTTGGAAAAGAGGCGAAGCAAGAAAGGCGAGACCAAGAAGCTCGCCCCTTTGCCTCCCCACCGCCCAACGGCAGCGGGCGCAGAGCGGCGCTCGGCCGGAAGGGGCCGCTGTGCGCTCAGAGCAGCCTCCCGGCCGCCGCCGCCGCACCTCCCACGGCCCCGCCGGCCCAGCCCCGCCAAGTTCCAACAGCCCCCAGTCGAGCGAGCGCCGGGAACGAGCACCGCCCGGGCAGAAGCAGACGGCGCAGACCAGCCGGGCTGCGGCGCGCGTCGGAAAGGCTCTTGGGAAACTCCCACGGCCCGGGGACTTTGGAAAGGAGAGAGCGAGCAGCCCCAGCGCGCGCAAGTCTGCAAGCGAGCGCTGAGCTCGGCACCTGTTCCTCTCGCGCCACCGCCTTCCCACCCCTCCGACCCGCGCCTCCCGGGGCGCCCGCCCGCTCCCGCGATGAATCCGGCGCTGGGCAACCAGACCGATGTGGCGGGCCTCTTCCTGGCCAACAGCAGCGAGGCGCTGGAGCGCGCCGTGCGCTGCTGCACCCAGGCGTCCGTGGTGACCGACGACGGCTTCGCCGAGGGCGGCCCGGACGAGCGCAGCCTGTACATCATGCGCGTGGTGCAGATCGCCGTCATGTGCGTGCTCTCGCTCACTGTGGTCTTCGGCATCTTCTTCCTCGGCTGCAACCTCCTCATCAAGTCCGAGGGCATGATCAACTTCCTGGTGAAGGACCGGAGACCGTCTAAAGAGGTGGAGGCGGTGGTCGTGGGGCCCTACTGACCGGCCCTCCGGCCCCCGCGGCAGCCGCCCTACGCCTGCCCACTTCGCCAGCCCGGCCGCGCCCCCTCACCATCCGAGACAGGCGAAGCAAACCTGTTGGAGTCGAATTATTTCTCTCGACTTCTGCCTTTCGGGATGAAGCGACCTGTTTTTGGCTCGCCCTCTGAAAGTCCCCATGCCTAGCTGTAGGAGGAGAGCGCCCCGACTCTGAACTCAGCAGCAAGTGGCAAAAAGAGGGCGAATACAGCGCAGAACTTTGGAAGCTGCCGATAGCGTGGGATGTGGAGAGACCGACGGGGCTAAGGCCCTTCTCCACCCGCAGGTGGGCCAAGTCTGGGGGCAGATGGAGAGGGCGGGCAGGGGAGAGACTCAGCGGCACCGAGTGCCTGGTGGCCGGAAAGGTGACCTGCGTATACGCCACGCAACAGACCTAATGGAGACACACAAATCCGAGTCCGAATTCGCGCCCGTTCCCTCCCGCTCCTCCCAGCCCTGGCGCGAGAGGCGATAAATACCTTTGATTGTAACGTGCCGTTTTAAGGGATTTTGTGTTTGTTTGCTTGAATACAAATATTTGATAAGTCCTTTTCTGCCCTAGTGGCCTGTTTGCCTGCCTGGGGGCTACAGTTTTGTCATCGTGGGAGAAGGGGTGGGGGGAGGGGGAGCCTGCGAATGTGAACGGGGTGAGTTGTTTCTTTCATTGCATTCCCAACTGGGTCTTTTGGGGGAGCTGGCGCCCCAGCTGGCCCCGGGGCGAAGACCCGGAATAGAACTCGTAGTTCGTGACTGCACGGTTTTCGCCACAAAAGTGCTCTTGCCATTCGTGACACCGTTTTGACTTTTTTTTTTTTTTCTTATTTAACATTTCCTTAATAAATGCAACATGTAAGTGTTTTGTTCCTGGCCTCCTGGTGGTCATTCTGCGCTCCCGGCAGAAGGGAACCGGCGCGCGGTGAGGAGTCAGGTTACCGGCCAGGGGAATTCGCTTGGGAGAGCTGCGATTCAACTCGTGGATCCCGTGGAAGGACGAGGGTGGGGGCGAGACCGAGAGGCCTAGGGACGCGTGAGACATGGCCAAGCCTCAGGCACAGGAGCCGTCCCGGAGGGAGCATCCTTTGTTTTCTCTTATAGTTAATGTTTTATATTTCATTTAGACTCAGCTCTCTGAGCCAAGCGAGACGACAGGAGGCCCCCGCGGGAGGATTACACTTCCGTGCAGGGCTCCGGCGGGAATACAGGGTTACCGCCAATGAAAGGAAGAGATGAGCTTGGTCAGCCTTCAGGGAGGGCGTCTGTCCCCGGACCAACGTCAGCAAGACGGCGTCGGGATGCTGCTCAAAAAAAAAAAAAATTAAATGCAGGAAAAGTAGCTGCTGAAGTCCATAGTGCCGCTAATTCTCCCTGGGGTAAACCACTGTTACTAGAACATGAGATGCATTGTCTTTGCCATAGTACGTTTTCTAGCGAAAGAGCGAGATTAAGAGAGACCTGGCCTGCTCTTTAATTTAGAGTAATTAACCATAGGCCAGGCAAAAAGGTTCAAAGGAGTTAGCCGAGGTCCTGAACGTCTGAGATGAGAGTTACAGCCCCAACTGGAAGGCTGGGCTGGAGTGGAGCTACAGACGGTCGTCGGCACATTTAGGGCTCAGAAATGGAATAGTGTTGGAAAGAAGAGCCTAGAAAACCGTGAATGTGAAAATAACCCAAAGGATGCAATAGCCTCAAGCTTAAACTTGACGAGAGGTTTTGAGCAGTTTATTTTTATGTCTGGGGTAGGATCTCAAACATTTTCAAGAATATAAAGGATCCACTACTATCCTACAGCAATTAAAATTGCAAAGACCTGGCCATAGCAGATACAAGACTGACTGAAATTAAACAACCATAAAGTGTCCCATTTACTTAGGAAGAAGCACAAATGGTATGAACAATGTCAGTGACTCAAGGGTTGGGATCAAAAGGTTTGAGTGTCCTTTAACATCCTGTTCACTAAGTGTCTATTTCACTCCCAAAGTAAATCTTGCCAGGAATTATGACCTAGAATGTTTTTTTGAGTGCTAATAAGTATCAGGCTTAAAAAAGAATTTTGAAGTTTTGCCTGTTGTTCCTGTCTTTTCAGCAGGTAGAGTTTACTTGTTTGGTTGTTTTTTTTTTTTTTTTTTTATCTGAGAAGGGAAATTAAAGCTACCTGTAGTCAAGGGTGAGTCATGGAAGGCAGTTTACTTTTGCTAATGGTAGCACAGGAAATGGCGACTTCTTATTTCACAGCCAGTTTCTGTGGCACCAACATAATCTGCTGCCTCTATGTTTCAAAGGAAGAAACAAAGCAGAACAACCAGTCCACTCTGGAACAAATCAGACATTTAAACTCAGTGTTTTGTGGCTGCAGCATCTGCTGAGGGTCCCCTTTTCCCACAGATTTATTAGCCCACTAGTGAATTCAGTGATCTGATGGAAACCTACTTGGGATCAAAAACCAATCAGCTAGAGTTTGTGGGAATCTTGCTTTGCGCACTGCTGTGTGCAAGGTGCGTGCTTATAGCAAGTTTCAGACACAGAAGGTTTCAAACCTACAGGTCTGTTTTTACTTGTTTGTGTACAACAGAGCTTTCTATTTAAAGCCAACGTTCTGAAAGTTGAGGGAGGGGCCTGCCCAAGCTCCCTGCTGCTCTCTCCTCTCCTGCTATTACCTGTCTCCTCCGTCACTGTGGTCTCCTCCATCCTTATTCCTCTGAATATTTCTTCACACCTCTGTCCTCTTCCCTGCACCTCAAAAGCAAAATTTACAGTTTCTCCTTATCTCAACTATCCAGATTTATTCTCTTACCCCCAGAAATTGTGATTATCAGACAAACCAGAACCTGCAAAATTTAGTCCTTTGGTAGAAAAGATTTGTGAACAGAGCTCTGTAATCCATGATCTATGCATTATAGGGAAATGCACACGGTCTGAAAATATCATAGCCCTGGGGACCATTTCCTGCCAACAACTCTTCTCTACAGCCCTTAGATCCATTTGTTACTTAGAGAGATGCCAAGTGATTCTGGTTTTTATAAATGAGGTGATGTGTGCAAGAAGCTTTTTACACTCCCTGTTCCCTGATGGCCACGCAGCAACCACTTTCTTGGGCCCCACATCACTCCCTGTCTCACTCTGCCTTTAACTCTCTTTTTCCCTGATTCTAACAAATGCATTGAAGTAAACTTTTTATCCTGCCCAGAGTTTATGGAGCATCGATCCTTTCCCACAGATGTGCTATAAGGAAAGTGAGATTTAAAAGTCACTCTCTGTGTTTCACGTAAGAAAACGATGTCAGCCTGAAGGGACTGGGAATTGAGAGGGAGAGAGGCAAATAGGCAGATTTTATCATCCACCCTTAGTCCACCATTTGGTCAGTAATTAGTGGGAAGCCCTGAGAGAGAGAGACGGCTTCCTGTAAAAGCTTGCTGGATCTAACATGGTCCATGGGGAGGTATCTGATACTTCCTGATACCTTTCTGGAAATACAGCAAAAGGAGGGAGAGGATTTCATGAGACACAGAAAGTGGATTAGCGGGGTTGTAACCCCTCTCAGGCTGTGCAGACAGCCACTGATGCCTCTGAGCCTAAGTGGGTGGCCTCCACATAAGTAACTTAGCCAATACATGTTATTTTTCTTAAGAGTTTTGGTATGAATCTTCCCACTCCCTCTGAAAATGTGTTAAGAACTTAACTGCTGGACACCTCGAGGGCTGCTTGAGGCAGTCAAAGCACAAAAGTCACACTAGTGTGTGAGGTCTAAGATCAGACTTGCTCTTGGTGGATGGTCCCTGGGCCTGATTTCTGATTTCCAAACCACTTGACCTCTCACTGGATGGTGAGTTGGTCCTGTTACTGTGTCTTCCTACACTAATTCTGAATGAGGAAGGGAAAGCACACTGGACTATGATGTAAAAAACTTTGGTTCTCTTCTTTGAGTAGCTGAGTGGCCTCATCCCTAAAATAAGGAAGATGGATTCTAAAAGGACATTCCAATTCTGTGATTCGATTGAATTAATTTGTTTAACATTTCCCGGTCTTTTAAGATGGTTCATAGATCTCTTCATTAGGTATCTTAGAAATATGTTTTATCGTTCCAATCTTGGTCCTTTGGATGGAAATGTTTACCCCCAAAAGTCAAGTGCCCCTTAACTCAGGATATGTTATTTACAATAATCAAAGCAAAATTTCAGACACCTAGCCAAGCCTGGGTCATACATCATCTAACCAGTGCCTTAAATATCCCAGATCGCTATGTTCTCACTGGATGAAGCAACGAAAGCAAAGCTCAGTAAACTGGGGAGCAAGTAATTGGCAAATGATTCGTCTAGGTACATACACATTCAGCCTAGTATGTGCTGTTGTTTATAGAAACTCCTTGGGTGTTTGAAGACTAATCAACAGCCAATTTTTCTCCCTCAAAGCGTTTTTCCCTCTGAGCTTCTGCAACAGCACACAGCAGCTGTTCTGCATGTAGTTTAGAGCCTTCCTTAGCCCTGGCTTATTATGCTTGTCACTTTCGGGGTTGAAATGCCAGGAAAGGATTCCAGGGTTCAGTTTATTCTGTAAGACTCAAACCTAGTTTGAAACCCTGTTGAAGCAGCAAGTCTACAGCAAACCCCCAAACAGGAATCAATAAATCTTTTATCCACCTACCAAATCCCATTTAGACATGTGCACAATAGCTCAAATGCGAAATGTTTTAAATTCAGCTCCGGCAGTAGTAATTGTTTCATAATATCTGAATTTAAATGCCCAATGGTTAATTACTTCCGTGGCCAATCTCACTCTATCCTCCTTTCCAGATATTTCTGTATTGTTTTAAATGCTTAAAATGTTTGAAAGTCCAGGATTAATTTCATAGCATCGACTTAGATTTTAAAATTCTTGGAAAGCATAAAGTATATAATATTATCAGCAAGTCATATGCATTTATGGTCATCATAATAGAATAGTCTGAATTTGTTACTTATATTTGAGAAATTCAAAATATTTCAGAGGGAGCTTCTACAAGGACTGTTGTAAGGATGACTAGATGCATTTTCAAATACTCCTCAGTAAGCTTGCCAACAGTGGCTTGCATCTAACCTAAACAACAATATATACTCAATGAGAATAAACAATATTTTCATTTGTTTTACTAGTTATGTATATTTTGAAGGGATGATGGGTAAATAGTTTCCTTTCCTAAATATATGTAAGAGCTTGTTTGCTGAAATATTTTTGAGCAGGTAAATGCAGGCACAGAGTGATCAATAAATAAAAGGTCAAGCCCTCTGCTGGAATAAGACTCTGCCCTGCCCGCCTTTTTAAAACTGGTTTCCATTAGATAGTAAAATTCTCTGAACTCGTAATTCAAACAGATAATGTTTGTTAAGCACTTACATGTACATGGTACATTACAACTTATTACTGAAAATATGAGATGATGCCTTACACTTGAGCCATAAAACACAGGCACAGAAAAACACACATAAGAGAAGGCACATGATCTACCCACAAGAGTCAAATAATAAATAAATTGTTTCTATTTACTATTTCTGGAATTCACAGTGGTATAAATATACATACATAATTATCCTATAGCCTACATGCTGGCACAGTTTACGGTTTATTACAGGGAGAAAATGTTACAGTTTTTCTCATCAATGTTTTTTTTCCTATTTGCCTTCTACCCTCACCAATTTCTCTCTCATTGTGTACTTCTTGCCTCATCCACATCTAAAGATATACTGCCCTGAAAGAGTCATTGAGTTTTATCAGACCAAGACTCCAGATGTCTGATTGCTTTGGGAAAAGAACTCCCCTGGGATCCAAAGTGTCTCTTTTGCTTTATTTATTTTCCTATAAATTGAGCAGGATCATGTAGTTCACATTC